TTCGTCAATGCTACTGGACGACATGCTCTCGTTATCGCTGTCAGTGCTGACGGTTTCGGGAGAGTAGTCCACATTTGGTAATGGTGAGCGATGCATCAAAACAGAAGTCGTGCAATAGATTTATGTTTTCGCAAGTGAAGGTTGAAAGTATTAATTTTATAGTGACATAAATTCTTCTACACTTCTGCTTTTATAGTCTCTGCGTTTTCTACCTATACGTAACAGATGGAAGAGAAATAAAGAAAAGGTGCATGTCAGTGAAGGAAGAAGAAGAAATTAACGTAGGAAAAAACCAACTTCTCGTTCTGTGTGAGTAATATGCTCTCGAGAACACTATTAATAGGAAAGAAAAAAAAGAATGCTCTCAGTTTTATTTAACTTGAACCTGGAAGCACCATAGAATGGTTATTGCACAATACCCCGACACAATCTATGACAATGCGCCCGCAAGTTTTTATTTGTGCATTACGCAAGAGGCACGAAACGACTACATACAATTTAGCACGTCCATGCGATGCAGCATTCTGGGCTGCAGCAGCCTCTTGTAAAACAAGGATTGCTAAATCCATATTGCAGGAACACTTCGGTACAACTCTAAAAGTATATGGTATGTATGCTCTTCGACGAAAAACACTTCGTCAAAAGTATGTTTTGACCATGGAGGGCGCTCCAAAGGTGATGATGAGAGCAAAATGAGTTGACCACTTCATGCTTAACAAGCCTGTACATGCAATGGTAAATTCCGCTTTCCAGGAAATTCAAAAAAAATCACTATAGAAGAAATTTCATAGAAATTTAATTCAATGTTTTAAAGATAATTACCGCGAAATCAGGTAATAAAAAGGAATATAGAAACAAGTTAAAGTTTAAGTTAGACTTAAGTTGCGTTGGGTTGAGTTGGGTTGGGTTGGGTTGGGTTGGGATGCGTTGGGTTGGGTTGGGTTAGGTTGGATTGGGTTAGGTTAGATTCCGTCAAGTACCCAAACCAACCCGAAATCACATCATCTGTTTTAAATTTATCCATGCACATATATTCTTCATTCACTTAACCCAACACAACCCAGCCCCACACGAAATCAACTCATCTCTTTTATTTTCATCTTGCGATATATATTCTTCATTCACTTGACCTAACCCAACCCATCCGAACCCAACCCAATCCAATCCAACCCAAACCGATCCAACTCCATATGAAATCAACTCATCTGGGGTGTGGGTGTAGGTGGGGTGTGGGTACGGGTGTGGGTGGGGTGTGGGAGTGGGTGTGGGTGTTCCTTTTGTCTTTAATCACCCACACCCACACCTATCCACACCGTTGATTTAAGCGAATTCCCTGTTGTCTTTCCGAATAAAAAAACCTGCAATAATGTAAAGTATTCTTATGCTTTCTTTTCTGATTCTCTTCATTTCCAGAGTACATTCTAGTGGCTGGGTAAGCATTCTTTTTCCAGGAATCTCTTCCAAGAGTAGAATAAAAGCCAGCAGAGAAACTATGCGGTGCCATTTTCCGTGAAAAACTGCTCCATGTTTGCTTTATAATGAAAGCATTTCTGAACACTCTTTTCATCAATCGCTTTTAACCGAGCTGACACTGAAAAGAAAAAAGTTGATTTTGTAATACAACTATTTGCGCATTATTGATCGACTCGAAGAAAAGAAAACAAAAATCAATACACATTCTGAAAAGAAACAATGAGACTATAGACCTTTTTATTTGTCTTTCTTGTCGAGTACGGATTGATTGTATAGGCTGCAATAATGAAAATTATTTTTCTACGAGACAGTAGCCCAGAGAGATTTATTGTAGCAGATAAGCGATGATCATTGCGAAGAAAGAATGTGTTTTTTATTAAGTGCCTCGTATGACTACTCTTTTCTTCAAATGACGACGCCCGAAAGACTTAACGATGTAGGGTGTGGGTGTGGGTGTGGATAGGTATGCACCAGTGCCAGTAACTGAGTCCCAGTCGGACTGGATATCCAGTCGGACTGGGTGCCCAGTCCGACTGGGTACTTAGTCATTTGACGTTTATTTCGCTAATCTATCGGTACTTCCCTCCTTTCTAAGGGTGTGGGTCTGGAGGTTGGTTTGACGTTGGTATGGGTGTCGTTATTGCCATTCTAACTATTCCCGCATCCAAACAACATCCGCACCCATATCCATCCAAACAACACTCACATTCACAAGTCACCCACGCACATCTACACCCTAGCCATAACCACACCCTGAAAACATGAAATTCATTTACAGTATTCTAAATTATAACGATTGATATATAGAAATATATGATTAGCCAATGGATTTAGTATCATAACTTATTTCACTACTTCAACAGCCTAAAAATCACTCTATGGCCTATATACTCGAAAAGAAAGTACTACTTGACTAATGGACTAAATATCAAAGGACTCAGTACCCAGTTCACCAGTCAGAACTGGGACTGGTGCATCCCTAGGTGTGGATGTGGTTGTGGGTGTGGGCGTGGGTGGGTGTGAGTGTGGGTGTGGGTGTGAGTGTGGTTGCGGGTGTGGGTGTGGGGTGTGAGTGTCGATGTGAGTGTGGTTGTGGGTGTGGATATGGGTGTGGGTGTGGGTGTGGGGTGTGTGGGATGTGGGTGTAGGTTAGAGCCCATCGGGTCCACGAATTTTTGGACCCGGACCCGACTAATGAAAATTTGCTGTACCCGAACCCGACCCGGTCCGGCCCGATAAAATTTTCTTGGACCCGGAAGTGTGTGGGTGTGGGTGTTAGTCTTCTCTTCACCCACACCCACCTACACCCACACCACACTCACACCCACACCCACATCCACACCCACACCCACACACCCACACCCTTTTCTAGTAGCAGCAACCTTCCATTCGTTTCCGAAATAGTTTATTCTAGAATATTCTATATAATTCACAAATATTAAACACAAAATATAAGTACACATAGATAATACTCGATTCACAGCCAGGAATGAGATCGAATAATGTTAATATTCTCAAAGTAAATGCATGTGAAGATGTGTTAAAAATAAAGCAAAAACAAACAAACATTTTCTTTTTTTTCATTAATAAAATTTGAATTAATGGTTATTATGCAAAATTTCTAAAAAGGAATTGTCGATAGCTAATTGTTTTATCTGTTTTGTGAAAAAGTTATGCCTCGAATCGAGTATACACTCTCGAATATTGAGAACCTTTAAAGTTCGATTGGAACGCAAAATATCAAACATCTGTGATAATTGATCGGGTGAAATCTGAGTTCCACTCAAATTCAAATGAGTTAATGTCTTATGCTGAGAAAGAGCCTGGATTAATGCAATGAAACAATTTTTGTTAGATGAACAATCAATTGTTGATCTCACGATTTCTAATTCTTTTAATTCGTAATTCGTCCGAATAGCGTCTGCAAACATTCGTATGTCTTTTTCAGTTAGTGTTTGATGCTCAATTTTCAATCGTGTCAATGTTGAATTTGATTGAAGGTTTGTTACAAGATCCTCTATTTGAATGCTTGTAGCGGAAATGAAATCTAATTCTTCTAACTTCAAATTATTTGCTATCGCTTGAATTTGCTTATAAAGAGGTAAATAGTGACATACCAAAGAAAATGGTTCACATGATCTTGTCTTAGTCGGTCTGTGATCTAAGGGGGGAGAATTACTCTTATCATGTAATTGTTGGCGTTGAATACCAGCACAGTTCAATAGGGCAAAAAGTTTTCTCCATCGAGTCCGACTTGAATGAACGTTGGATCTTTGAACGGAAGGTTCAATCGAAGTATTGTGAACTTCAAAACATTGACTCTTTCGATAGAAAACAGCAGAACATAAAGAACCTCGAACCTCAAGTGTATTGAGAGTAGTATTTTTATTAATAGCATTGGCGAATTTTTCCAACATTGTTTGATGATCTATATTGATTAATTCTAAGGATAATGTATGGATGGAAGTTTTCTGAAGAAATTGTTCAATAGGTTCTATTTCAGTATTGGTATGAATAGAACATTTTGGAAGTTTCAAAATTTGAAGAGTTTGATTTTGTGAAAGATATTTCACGATAGTATCAAATGACAAATTTTCACCATTCCCGCTGAGAACGAATTCGAGAAGAGCAGAATTCTTGCCTAACATTGCAAAAACTTCTTTTGATCCTTCGATTTCATTGTCAATTTGCCAAACTTTCTCTAAGTGTAGTACTGTCAATGTTTGATTATTACTTAGAATGGTACATAGCTGTCGTATCTGCTCTAATGTCAACGGACAATGAAAACCCAATTCTCGTAGATTTTGACTCCCTTTCATCAACTCACAGAAACAAATCCAAGTTTCTTTTGTATATGATTGACCATGAAAATGAAGTTTTGTAATAAGGTGAGTTATCGAACATACATTTTGAAACGCTTCATTATAATTAACTCTATCGGTTTTCCTCTCACTATGAACTACTTTTAAACTAAAATCGGAATGATTCTGTCTATTAATTTCTAATGAAGGCATCAGTTCGTGAGAACGTATTTGAAACAATAATCTCGAATTTGTTTCTCTGATGACATCAGTTAGTTTCGATGAAAACTTCGTTAGAGAAGTTTCGAAATTATACTGAATATTAAGTGCAGTATTGTTTTGTAAAACATTGTCCAATTTCAACACAATTTCTCGATGTTTTCTTTTGAAATGTAAGTGATGCAAAATACGAATGTTGTCAAACTCTATATATCGAATAGTTCTATTTCTTGAAATAAATTCGAGAAATTGATCGAAATGTTTTTCTTCGAGCTCGATATCTTTAAAAGTAACTGAAAAGACGCGCAATCCTTGGCAAAGTAAATTAAATATTTCGGAAAAATTTCTCGAAACTCGTCCTTCAATCAAAGCTGAATCTCTTCTTATTTCACCTCCTAACTCTCGAAAACGATTCTGTAATCCTTTTAGAGTTCTATCCGCGTAACAATTCTGATAGTGCTGAATGCATACCCACCGAACTTGTCCATCGCTTGTGGTCGAACGGTACTAATTGCCTAATGTTTGTCGATTATCAACTCGATTTAGAAAGTATTCTATCTCACGAAGTTCTGCTCCTTGTAAATGTTGAAAATTTGAATCTGTCGAAAAATTGACATTTTGCTCGGCTATTTCAAGAGCCTTATTCATTTGCTCAATTCGAAGCTTAAAACTTTCCCACATAAATCGATCTCGAAAAGCTGCCGAAGCAGGAATATTTTGATTGAGAGATGTAATATTCGGAAGAACAAAACTACCGATAGTCAGTGCATACTTAACAAATGTCAACATTTGACGTAGATGAGGTCCATATTTGCGTAAGAATTCACGAGGTTGCTTGATTTCATAGCCATCATGATAAGCTAGATGACGATCATGCTCATTTTCACATTCGCATATAAAATATAGTCGATAATGGTGATGAAACCGATTTATGGGATTGTAAGAAGTTGTTTCTTCAGGTAAAACAATGAATAGTCGAGGTACAGTAAATTCAGTTAGTTCAAATGTTTGACGAAGAATAGCATCAGCATGGCTTTTCAGAATCTCTGTATTTTCAAGTATCTTTTGCGTAGATCTATATATTTCTTGAATCATTTTTATAGAATCATTATTTATATTTTTGGGTACTGCTCGTTTGTGACAATGAATGGGATCGAAAGACACAGCTCGGATGCGATTTGGTTTTATTCGACTGCCTTTTTCATCAAGCTCAAACGGTATCGGTAAACCATTGTACGTAAAAGTGCGAATACCCGAATGAATATGATATTGTACTTCTTTTAATAGAACGAAACATTCGCCGTCAATATTCGATATCTGAATTTTGTAAACACGGTCTTTATATTGACATGCCTGATATGTCATTTTCTAAATGACAAAATTAATTATTATTCATTGTAGAACAATTCTTAAACTCGAACTAAAAAATAACATTTTTTTCAAAAAAGTTTAATTGTATCTATTTGACCTGTTTTTTTTCAAAAAGATTTGTTTTAAAAGATAATTTGATAAGTCAAATATGAAATTCTATTCTTGTCTAACACCTGCTACTATCCTTGACTACTACACAACATGTTGCATTGAGGTTCACAGTGTATAGAATACTATATAAACTGTCGAAAAAATGACTTCCTAATAAATAAATAAAAGTCGTATTCTTGAAGAGAGAAAGATTATTATTGCTTTCTATTCTGTTAGCACCTCTTGCTATTCAGAGAGTGGCAACACATCGAGGGAAAACGAAGTAGTAGAAAGACATGGGGCAGAAGAAAGACTTATTCAATCGGTCTGTATTTCTAATGACACTGCATTTGTTGAGATGTTATTTCGCGCGAGATCGAAAAAATAATTATTAGAAATATTTTGTTCTGTTTTTCTTTCCTGTTATCAAACTAAGTTGTATTGCCGAAAGAATATCCCTTTTATAACTCTATATATTGGAGATAGCGAGATCTGACAGCTAACAAAAAGGACCTGGTCGAAAAATCATGGATTTTTCCTCGGTCTGGAAACAGTATAAAATAAAAGTACCTTAAGAGTGTATAACTACCATGGTATCAATTTGCTAAGATCTGGTCCTTTTTCTGAATAAAAAATATATATAATGTTCAGTGTATGTCTGTGTCC